ACAGAGTAGAGAGAGAGAGATTATATATAATTTTTGATGCCGTGTTTTGTTGTTGCAGAGTATTTCATGCAGAGGTGTGGAACTGCAGGGGACAAGCATGTCCAGCTTTCATGTATCCTGCAGTGAAGAAGCGTAAAGCCAAGAGCACCAGCAGCAAGGGGAACACAGTCACAAAGGAAATCGGGAGAGAATATCTTAATTACAATGAACCAAAAAGTGAGTACTTCTGACTTATACCGTCCAAACCACGCATCAATTGGATGTTTGGAAATTGAAGAATTCTTTTTGCTTTGAAGGGTGTGAATGGTTTATTCCTGTGAGAACGCATTATCACACTTACTTTCTTGGCAAAAGATGGACTTAGGAGGACTTTCCCATTTGATATTTGGGGTTTTCCAACAGGCTCACCAAACAAATATTTTTGGAATTAAAATTTATATTAAGTTTCTAAACAGTTAGATTTGATTGTTTGAAAATTAGATGGACTCTATACAATCGTAGGTACCTTTTTCTTATATGTAGAGTTGCGCATGATTTTTCTTTGTTTTTTCTAGGTTGGCCACTAGATTGAGGAGGTTACGTCCTCAAAATTTAAGGTCCGGAAATTACACCTACATAGGATTTTACTTGAGGGAGTGAATTGACGATATGCTCCAGCAGGAGCATATTATCTTTTGTTTTTTTCCAAAGTTCTCTTGTGCAGTTCCCCCCTACATCATTACATATGCTAGTAGAATCACATATTTTGTTTTGAAAGTGAAGACACTTTTTTTCTCCATTTTAACAAGTCTTTTATTTGGAGGACACTTTAGGCCTTATTTAACGACAAGGAAAACGTGAGTTTTTCCCTATTTTCTTGGTTCTGGTAACTTTCCCCAATTTGTGATGCGGGAAACATGGCTTGCATTTCCATGCTTTTCCCCATTTTTGGGAAGGCTGCAGCCAACTCAAGGGGTTGGACACAGGCTTCTGTGAAGGCAAAACATGGCCCCCACCTCCCCCTCTTCTGTTCCCTCTCAATATCTCTCTCTTAACCCCACTCTCTCTCTCTCTCTACCCAAGCCCTACAATTCCCCAAACCTCAAATTAACCAGTGTTACTTGTGTGCTGCAACTTCTTTATTATGTTGCGTGTTGACATTTAAACAGAGTCCCGATACACTGACTATCATGTTAGGTGACTTTACTGTTTTCCAGTACATATCAGCACCTTATATGAAAGTGTTTTGCATGTTTTAATTGACAAAGTGTTAAGAGTCTGTGTTGTAGGGTGGGCATTGATGTTTTAACTGTCATGGGATTGAAACTTGTGGTTCATGCATGCTCAGTTTTTTAAAGCGAGGTTTATATCAAACAACAAAGTAAGTACACCTTTAAACTCTGCCGGAAAATGCACTTTTGACGCTTAAAACCTTACGATTACCTAAAAATCTATTTCCACCTTCCATTATAAAATTTAAAGTTCTAAAAATAGTGCAGATGAAGCAGATCTTAGACACTTGAAAATAGACGGTCCGGATAATGTGTCACAATATGCACTAATTTTAGGACTTCATTATTACTATTATTATTTATATATCCATGCATCTCGAGATCAAGATGATCAATTCAAATGTTCTACAATGTTAGAACAATCTCGTCCAGTGCATTTCTTGAGGTGCACCATGCTTCTATGTTATAAGGTTCACACCTTATATAAAGTTTTTCCTTTTTTACATGAACTTCAAGTTGCAAACAGAAAAAAATGTCAGTCCCAAGTTTAGAACCCGTGACAGATTAAAAAGGGATAGTAAATTTTTGTGTACTTGATGCACTAATAAATGTTAATATCGTAATGCTAATGCTGTTCGGTATATTAAAAAGACGTAAAACACAATCCTCAAGACTCGAACTCTTGTCTCCTTCATAAAATCACAGTGTGCTTTACCACTACAGAAACAATAAAAACTGCACCCTTTAATGATATTCATCAGTAAATTTGATATTCTACTATATTTATATGCAAATCAATAAATTTGGTAGTTACTGATATTTATCAAAAAATGAATTTTTAAGTAAATCCTGTTTATCAGGAACTGAATTTTACTCATATTTATCCAGAAATTACAAATATGATATTTATCAGAAAATGAAGCGTGCCTACTTCATCAACCAACAGTTGTTGCACTCGACCATACTTGGTACACACATTCAAATCTATAAAGAATCCAGATGGAAGGTATTATAAATCCCAGTCAGGTGGCAACTGGAATGATTTCTGTGATGAGTTTCTGCTGAGGTTACAGGACCAGAACATAGAAGTCGGGGTGTCTCCACTAACAAACAATGCAGTGTTGGTTAAGGTACTCGAAGATTCAAAGATCTATTGCACTAGTATCGTCTGAAAAGCATGCAATTGTGAACCCCTTAGTTTTTAGTTTTATGTTTAACATTGTATTTTTGTTTTTGTATTTGTTAGGAATAACTAAAATTGTATTAGCACATAACTGAAGAACTTAATCTTTTGTTGTAGCATGTATGGGGTGCATGTGGTTCAATTCTTATGTATTGGAAATTTGGTTCATTTGTTGATGTGACAAAATTTTGGTTTATGACTTCAACATCTGGTTCATTCCTTCATGTGAATATATGTGCTCCATGCAAAATGAATATATGTTCATGTGAATATATACGAAGGGATACCCAATCTTCTAGGAGGAATTACAAGGGGACTCCCCTTAGGATGACTCTATTTGAACTCACGCTAGACTGCATGAAAAAGGGTCTAGACAGCATGGAAAAGGGTCTAGTGTTGGCCAATGGGGGGGTTCCACAAGGATGGGTGGACACATGACAATGGGCATGTGTGCAAAATATGATTATGGGTTCTGCAAACATAGGGCTTAAAAACGTGATGAGAACTTTGAAGAAAACTTATAGTGAGATCAAACATCCAGTCGATCATTCTAGTTTTGAATGGCGGCCGTTCGAGCTGAGATGCGCTTTCGACATGGCAGGTCAAACAGCCTTTCCGTTCCGTCCCGGCTAGTCTAGGTGAATCAATATATCCTACTTTCCTTCCATTCCGGCTGAGGGAGGCATACTTCATACTAACCCAGTCCAGAAAAACAGGATAAATCGGCATTTGATAACAGACGTGGACTCTTAAACCGGACAGGGCAGTTAAAGACAAGACAGGATAGGAGTTGAGATAATTGTCATAAAGGAAACAAACTCCATGCTTAGGATTCCGAAGCGTGGTACCCGACTGACTTCCTCTCATGCTTGTTACCTTGCGATGACCACACCCAAGACGACTATTTATTATTGGTCGTTCCTGCCACCTACCAAGAGGGGAGATACTCCAGCCAGCAGTACCATGGTGAACAAGTGCTCTTCTTTCCTTACCTTGCCCCTGCTTATTGAAAAACGATTTGCCAAACAATCCAAAGAGGAGGATGGTAACAGCGGGATGGAGTTGTTCATGACTAGGACAATTGTAAATATGTAAAGCCAATTCTTGACATGTATGTGCAGTATGGGTGGGGTATGTTTCATGATTTTCCATAGATTCTACTTGCCTAGGCATAGTCATGGGCTGGGAAGTTCATGAACAAAACTACACTTCCTTCTGTAACTGGGGCTGCAGTCATGGCATATATAGATTTGGTTCTCATGGTCGTGATTGCTTTGATTTGATTCTAGATAAGGATTCTTTGGATGTCTGTAAAATGATGAAACATGTCAAGGTACTTCTGCAGTACTAGGAATATGCTGGTAGAATAACATGTGGCCATTCTCTTGGGCACAGTTGCGCGAGATGAATGTGGTAGGTTTAGAAATTGAATTTCAGCGTTCTGGCCAGAAAATTAGCTACTATTTCAATAACATGCTAAAATGCAATGGACTTTGGCCCTGTACTTCCTATTCCCCTAGCCGGACTAAACACACAGTTCTATCTCCACTGATCCGTGGTTCAACCCAGTTTTCAAAGTTCCAAATGTTCACAGTTGTAGGATGTAATTTTCATGGTGCTAGCTAGGAATGTTATTGCTCACTCGATATTTCCTTCGTAGGATTGTGTCGGAGCGGTCAATGGAACAAACTTCCCAATTTGGGTTCCAAAGTCTACGTATAAGTGATTCCGTGATAGGGAAACCTGTTACAGAGTATGTTAACTGCCTTTATGTTCAACAGATTGGGAAGGCTATGCTATAGACTCAAGAATTTTATACGATGCAACTGAGAGGTAGATCTATCCTTTGACTGTGCCTTGAGGTAAAAATAATTGAAATTTCATTCCTACAACAATGCGACAAAATGTATGAATTTGGTCATCTCATGCATAGGAAAATACTCCCTTGTAGTTGCAAGTTTCCCTAGCATGCCTGGGTTCATTGTCCGACTTCGTGTTGTTGCTTACTACATTAATGGATTTTGGGGGTGGTCGATCTCCAAGGACATCATGAGAGTTATTTAATTATAGAAATTCATTGTTGAAAAATGTTGTGGAGCATACCTTTGGAGTATGGAAAAGGAGTATGGAAAAGGAGTATGGAAAGTACGATTTCCCCTTTCAAGAGCCAATTTCGATATCCATTTCCTACACAGGTCAAGATTGTGAATGCCACGGCTTTATATGGAATGAGGACAGTCAGGTCTAATATAGAGAGTTTTATCTTCGGATGATTGGATCAATGAAGTGCAATCGAGGAAGTGAGGATGATGACGATGGTAACAAAAGTGAAGAATAAGAAACAGTTGAGCCCATGGTGTTGAATTCCCAAAGTAGGGAAGATCATGATCTTGAGAACCATTGAGGGAGGAAATTATGGCGAAAGTATGGTCTGCCTATTGATGTCGTGGAAACTGATGGGTATAGTTTGTAAGCAATTGTGTATGGTTCATCTCCCACTCACGCTTGCTGTAATAGTGTTTCACAATCTTCTGTCCTCCCCCCCCCCCCCCTTCCCCAATTTCATTAAACCCATGATATTTCCTAGCTGCTTTTATGTGACGACAGAGTATTTTGATTTATTATTTTGAGAGAAAGTAATTCATTGCTGAATTTGTTGTGATTTTAGTACGGTCGAGAATAGGTCGGATTGGGTCCGGATCCATCGGGATCCAGACTCGAATCTGAAAAGTATACTTAGGATCTGGATCCGGACTTGATTGGATTTAAAATTCTAGATCCTATCCAAAAAGTATACATGGGACCTGGGCCTGATCGGATCCAAAAAATTCATTTTATATATTATTATATATTTAAAAATAATATATAATAAAAAATACTATATACGATACGAGGGAATTGGTGAAAAAATATTTCCACACCTTAACCACATGAGAATTTTGAGAATTGTTTGTTGAGAAATATTTTCATGCGAACCAAATGTGGCCTTATGGTTAAGGTCACATGATAGTTCTTCACTTAATTAAAAAGAACTATATAATGCCAAATATTATATGTTCCTGCGAATGCGGGTTGTTTATGCAGTCCCTTTAAGCTGAACAACTTTGTTAGTGTAACAAAGGGTTCGCAACTGGCTTGGAGTGGCCTGAGCCTAGCCCTTGACCTTTGAGGTCCAGTTCAGCTTGGTCGATGCCTAAGCTCTACCCTAGAAAAGGCCCGGCCAGGTTGGGCTAAGCCATGGGCCAGGCCAGCTTAGGCATATGATGTAGATTTTAGGTCTGGGCCAGGACCTTGGGCTAAATTTAGTCACCAAGGCTCAGACTATCAACAAAGTTGTGAACCTTTTGCCATCCTATCCTAAGCGACCAAACTCAGATATAGGAAAAAGAAAAGATGCCCAAAAATGTTCTTGAAAAAACATTTTTCCTAATATCGGACAAAGACTATCAATTTTTTAACAACCAATTCTAAATGCATATCAACCCAAATCCAAATTTAAATTTACTAAGCGCATTCATCCATTAATTTTAAAGTGGCTCCTAAAATTTTAGAAGGAAAAATGTTTACTAAGTAGTTATTTATTTAAGGGGTTAACTATACAGTCTAAGTACAACAATTTGTGTACTGATAAATTATTATATCATAACTATATTTTATATGGGAAAAACTTAAATGTGACTCCAATAGGCAATAAGATGAGATAAAGTAGATTTAAGGGGATTGGACATGTGCAGTACAGATCTAGTATAATACGGGTTAAAAATTGCGAGTTGGTTCAAGTAAATAATTAAAAAAAAATAACGGGTAGAACCAAAATGACATAGAGGTGTGAGTTGGTTCAAGTAAAAAATTAAAAAAGAATAAAGGGTAGAACCAAAATGACATAGTTAGAAGTAGTGATAAAATATATAAAGATTTGTGATCTTATCACCCTTGATGGAACGCAATAACTTATCAAAACTCGTGTAGTCGACCTCAAATAATTAAAAAAAAAACTATGTTGATGATAATGATAATGTACCATGTTAGTGGTTTCGCTTTCTTCTAACGAACACGGCATATGTCAACATCCAGTTGACAGTCTTTACAATAGACATTTTGACATCAACAATAGACATTTTGACATCAACGTGGATCACTAGGAATGTGTTGCCATTTAATTATACAAGTTTGGTTCCATTTTAAATTAATTTCGATACAAACACGGATTTTTAAAACCACATTTTATATCCAAATCAAAGCACATCTGTCGATCCCTTCTTTTTAATGATCATTTTAATACTATTATTTAATACCACTATAAAAAGTAAAGATTAGCGCATGGAGCGGTTCAAATCTTATTGAAAATCAATGTTTTAGCCTTGAAAAAGCAAGAAGCAGATATCGACTTTGACCAATGCAAACCAAAGAAAACAGAATTCGAAGTCTAAATTGTGACAAGTCACGTGGACCATTCATTTTCAACTGTTCATATAGTTTTTTTTTTGTTAACATCAAATCTTAAAATCAAAGACTAAAAAATAGTTTTTTTTTGCTATTAGGGTTTTTTTCCCAAAAATTTTGAACCATTCATTTTCAAGTGTTCATAGTTGTGCATTATTTTTTGGGATTCAGATTATAAAACCCGAGACTAAAAGATAAATTTTCAAGCCATTAGGGTTTTTGTTTCCAAAATAACATTCTCCTACAAAGCTTGAAGTTCGATTTATGTTTGGAAAATTTTTGTCCGTACCAATATATAAGGGGATTGTGTACAAAAATACCATTTATCTTATGTACATGGAAGTCAGAATCATTCTCACTCATTAGATGCCAAATCGAATGGCTTGGGGTGAGTCACAAAGCTTGAGAATTCTTTTATTGAAATTTCCTATCTTTTCAATGACACTCTTACTATCACCTATTTTTGAAATTTGAAAGACAAGAATGATTATCACCTTCATATACAAAAGATAAATGGTATCTTTGTTGACAATCCCATAAATAAAATGAGGAATTGTCTAGATCTCTTTTTATTTTTATTTTTATTTACAAATTGTGTGTGGAGCTTCATTTATTTATTTATTTTGCAATGGTTCTATGTCTCCAACGTTCCAAACATCATAGTGCTTTTTTATTTTTATTTTTTATTTTTTTGAAGTGTAGGGACTAGTGTAAGGTATGGATCCTCATGCTTATGTGAAGATTGTTCATGCCCAGCAATCCAATGTTTAGAACCTCATACCAATTTGTCGACTGCGAATTTCAGTCTACGGATTGACATGAGGTTCCAAAACTCAAATTGCTTGGCTTGCTTGAACATTGTGCAAGGTGGTCTCAAAATCTGGACTTCAAACCGGTAAGTGGACTTCGAATTTCATAGTCTTAGGACTGTTACGAGGTTCCAGACCTCATAACACTTGGTTTTCACAAGATTCATGCAAGTCAAGCCTTCCGAGGTCTAGAACTTAGGATATGTGCCTATACCAAATTAAAAACAATAAAAAATAATATGATGTTTGGAACATCAGTTTGAGAGGCAAAATTTAAAATAAAATAAAATACAAACGGTGGAAAAACCGGTGGTCAAACTCTTCATAAATTTTGATTAATTTTAGATTCCCACATAATTATCATATTTAAATATGATATGGACGTTTCCTTCTGCTTCTTTTTTTCCATTCCCACATGTTTCCTAATTCAGCCCTCTAACCACCCCTCTCCATCTCACCTCCTCTTTCATCTATCATTTAAAACGCTGATAATAAACCTTGCCCGGTTGCCCTACTTGTGGTTCCTCTAAAACGTTGATAATAAAAATTGCTCTACTTCTTGTTCCTCTTTCAATCTTCTCGGATATCGTATAATACTATTTACTTTTGATTCAAGAGGGTCATAATTATTAATCCCATCAAGTTTTTATATGTAAAAGTTGAACAATTTGATATTTATGTTTTATTTGAATAATTCAGTGGGGAAGACCAACCCCTACCGATGTTTAGAAGTTAGTTTTTCTACAGTGTCCTACCATATGGAACCCAATTGTCATGGAATTTGAAACAACTTATTTGCCTTTTAGTGCAATCAAGGACCCACCTCCAACTAACGGTTCAACATTTAACGGGCAATAGAAATCAAGATTTGATACAAAATATAGAGTCTTGTTTTATACTTTTTCTAGACAAGGACCCCCTCAAAATATGATATCAAAGTTTGACCTAACTTCCATGTGGAAAATTTATTTCCACGAGTGAAGTGAATGTTATCACTGGACGTCGAATCTACCCCTCAAGTCCTTGGTCAAGTCCGGGTCCATTGCGAGTCTTTGGTCAAGTCCGGGTCCATTGCCACCCCTACTGGTCAAAGAGATGGCAAGAGGCGGTTCAGGTTGGGCTTCTTCGTTGGCATTTGTCCAGTGCTCTACTTGACCCTTTTTTTCTCTCTCTAGAGATTGTTATTTGTGTGGTGCATGTTTTCTCTCTCTAAAGAGCAATTCTTGGTTTCATCTACTCACTCATATCAGGCGGCAAAGTGCGTGTCAAAGTCGTCCTTTTCCCTTGTTCTCTCTCTAAAGTGAGGAACAATGAACCTCCTTGTTCTCTTTTGGCTCTTTCTCACTTTTGCTGGGCGGGTCGTAGACAACAAGGAATACCGTCACAAACAAGGATGACTTCTTGCTCTTACGAGATCATTTGATTCTTTTTTAACAATAAGTATCTATTTATGGTTTTAATTTCAAATTTTTTGAATCTTGTATAAAAATATGGGTTAGTGTAAAATCATTTATTATTATTACAAAAAAATCACAATTATTTTTAGTTATTAAATATTATTTTAGAAGATATGATGTGTATTATAAAATTTTAAATTTTTTTTTAAACTTTGAGTCTAATCAATGACACACTTATAACATCCTGCAGACAAAAATTATTGTAACGTTCTTATATTAAATAAATAGCCTTTGTATTATTTTTTAAATGTTAATAATTTTTTTTTCAAATTACAAAACTAGGTGTATCCTATGTCGTAAATAGAGGATAAAACTTGGACATGGTGAATAAGTTGGGATTTGGGGTCTAGAAGGTCGTAAAAACTCTAAAGTTGAAAAAGAGAGAGAGACAGAGTGTGCGACTGTTTTAATTTATTTAGGGACAGGGATATAACAGATCATGAATCATTAAAAACACATTTTTAAAAGCAATGATTTCATGCAACCGTTGTATATTAATATAATACAATAACATTAAAAAACCATCTTATGGCCATTTGTTTGATCCAAAATTTGAAATATACATTCTTTTCATTTTAATGAACAATTACAAAAAATGAAAATTTGAAAAAACAACCTAGAAAGTATTTTTTTAGCCCAATTAACATAGGCCGTTTATTTTGGTGATATGCTTAGATCTAGGCCTTAGATAGATTTTTTCATTTCTAATTTTTTTGGATGGCTTTATTATTATTAGATGAACAATGTTAAAAATAAAAAATTGATTTTGAGTTTATAAAGGCTAAGATCTTGAAATTCACAAAATGAATGGTCTAGATTCGTTTTTGGAAAGAACTCATTTTAACCATATCTAAAGTTCAATTTGAACTTTTTTTTTTAGGATTGATTATTGAGATGAAAAGAGTGTATGTAAAATTTGGGATCATACAAATACCACATGATTTTTTAGAAGTGTCATTGTATTATACTATGATATAACTATTGTATTAGATCATTACTCTATTTTTAAAAAGAGTTTTATAAATAAAATTTATTTTATCTTTTCAAATTTAAAAATAGACATATATTTTATGCTCAATTCTCTCTCTTTTAAGGTATATTATTAATTTAGTGACTAGGGTACAAGGGTGCTACAAGCACGACCCCTTTCCAGGCAAGCTCTTTCTCGGGAGTCGATGGAGATGGATGTAAACCACATCACTTTGAAGTAAAAGCCCAATCATGGTATGATAAGTGCTTGAATCGAAATAACAAGTTAAATAATGTAATCCACACTTCAAGCCATCACCAATATTTTCGAACTTTCAACCAATAAATGATTAATCAAGATTATTGTTGGCGATCCATAATAGAAATTGACCGGATCGAACTAGGATGCATCGGTTTGAACCCGGCCCCTCCTAAAACCCTCATTCCATATGTATCTTAAGCTTTATGTAATGCTATTTTAGGGCGCCTTGCCTTTAAATTGTCTTTCTATTTTATTTTTATAATTTTAATATTTTTTTAGATCATCGAATCGAACTGATCCAGAAGTACGAATCCCAAGTTTGAAATACTGATCAAGAGTAAATGCCTCTCTCCATCTTCTTGACGAAATTTAGAGAGAGAGTTGAAGCAATACTGTACATAAGATTATTAATAAATATTAGTAAAAACTAAAACTCGCTTAAGCAATAAGAGAGCAATTATGTCTTTAAGATATGACTCTTCCTAGGTGAGGACTAGGGGTGGCAATGGACATGGACCCGTTGACCGGAACCAATCCGGGGATGAGTATAGGTTTCAAAAGTGGGACCCAACAGATCAGGTTTGGGTTTGGGTCCAAATATTTGAGCACCATTCGGATGTAGGTTTGGGTCCATGTGGACCCGATCCGAATAATGTTATTATTTAAATAATATATAATATTTTACTAATATTTAAATAAATATATATATTTTAATTATAATATTTAAATAATATATGTGCAAATTTAAGTGATTTCATGCAACAGTTGTATGGTAATATAATGCAAGCAACAACTTTCAAAACCATATTAGAGCCATTTGTTTGATCCAAAATTTAAAATATACTCTTCTCATTTTAATGAAAAATAAAAAAAAATAAAATTTTGAAAATGCAACTTAAAAAATATTTTTTAGTCTAATTAATGTAGGCCGTCTATTTTGGTGATATGCTTAGATCTAGGCTTTAGAATGCTTTTTTTTTTTCCAAATTTTTTTAGATAATTTTAATATCATTAGATTAATAATATATATATATATATTTTTAATTTATAAAACCTTAGATATTAAAATTCATAAAATAGACGGTCTAGATTCATTGTTGAAGAGGACTCATTTTGGCTATTTATTGATTGCAAATTAAGTTTTTATTTAGATTGATTATTGAGATGAAAAGAGTTTGTGTGTAAAATTTTAAATCTTACAAATGCCACGAACATGATTTTCTAAAAATATGGCTGCATTATACCATTAAAATCACTTCCTAATAAATATATATATATATATATATTATTTTTTAGGTCTGATCCAATTGGATTCCGTTGGGGGGTTTGCGTCTCAATCCGATAACTTCAAGCCCAGTTGGGTCCGGTCCCGGGTCAGAGTCCGGGTCCTGTCCCGGTTGCACCGAGTGTGAGAGAGTCTAAGCGCGGGTAGGTTGGGCACGCCAAAGAGCAAGCGCCGCCCGCGCTGGACTCTTCTTTTTTAGCGCCCACGCGTTACTACTTTCCAATTCGTGACAAAACCACGTGTCTCACTTTGAAATTATCTCTCTTCTCTCCTGTCTTCAGTTTCACTGTCATTCTACTACTACCACCCAAAAACTGGGTGGCACAAATATCAATGAAGAGTACCCGCCTTTTATTTAGCCGCTAATTATGAAAAATAGGGGTGAAGATATCAATTTCCGTCTGATACTCGTATCCTGGATTTTGCTCCGCATTCAAAAAGCGAGCCTAGACACTTTCCCTGTTTCCTCTGAAACACGGCATTCTGGTTTACCTCTCTCTCTAAACGGAGGTCACTTTCTCTCTCTTCTCGCACCACGCAATCTCCTTGATTGTGACGCTGTCAGCCTCCCTCCCTCCCTCTCTCTCTCTCTCTCTCAGTATCTGTCATTGCGGGGTTTTCTATCTTTTTAATGCTCTTTCTGCAACGAAGAAGAGGCCATTTTTGCAGCATTTGTTCCTGATTGAATGAGGCTCTGTGCAATCGATTTTCTCTCTCTAACTCGCTTTCTCTTTCCCCAATGCTTCTGACTCCTCACGTTTCTCTCTCTCCTGTCACCTTTCAGTCTTGAAACAGGGCCATCTTCCTACCATTTGTCCCTTATTGAATGAAATCGATGGGAGTTTGCTTGCTCATTGCATTGTCGTTTCTCTCTCTAAACCATCATCTCTAAGTGCTTCTCATTCCAGGGTTTCTCTCTCTAATGTTTTCCGCCCACGGGGAAGAGATCATCTGCGCAACATTTATTCCAGATTAACTGCTATTGAAGCCATCTTCGTGCAATCATCTTTCTCTCTCTAACACCCCCTTCCCTCTCTAAATGTTTGTTGTTGAAGGGTTTTCTCTCTCTTCTTTCATACTTCAGCCATGAAGAAGAGGCACTCAGCCCATCATTTGTTCTGGTTGGGCTTGAGAGTTGTTTTAGGGTTATCGGCGACCTTCTGTGTTTTATCTTTCCTGAGAATTCAGTCGGAATACAAGCCAGAGCCGCCCTTTACATGGACCCAATTGCCTTTCACTGGTCCTCCAAAGATAGCCTTCCTCTTCCTTGTGCGTGCGAATCTACCTCTCGACTTTCTATGGAACCACTTCTTCTTGGTACTTCTTTCTCTATCCATTTGTCTCTCTTCCTCTCTCTAAGAATCTCTCTCTCTATAAACTTTGTAATTCTCATTTATGTGCGTGTTCCGTTGCTTTATGTATTTGAAATTATTATCTGGGTCTCTGGGCTTGCAGAATGGCGATTCTCGAAACTTCTCCATATATATCCATTCGAAACCTGGCTTCGTTTTGGACGAGTCGACAACCAGGTGCACCTTTTGCTATGGCCGCCAGTTGAGCCAGAGTATACAGGTGTGCTGATATGTCTGTGCCTCTCCCTCTCTCTCTCTCTCTTCCTTCTATCTCCTGATTGCTACTAACAAAGAGCCTAAGACTGTTATTTTTTGAGCTTGGAAATTGTTTACCCTCTCTTCTCCATTGTTAATTTGGCCACGGGATTGCAGGTGGGTTGGGGAGAAGCTACTATGATCAAAGCAGAGCGAATTCTTATTCAAAAAGCGCTTCAGGACCCTGCAAATCAGAGATTTGTCCTCCTCTCCGAGAGGTATTATGTGTTTATATCTTGCTCATCAGTGACTTAATATGAAAACCTCTTATCAATGAGTATTTCATTATCAAGAATGAAATAGGAGAGAGGGAGACTAATTTTGCTTAAGGAAAGTTCCGAAGTTTGAATATATGCTATGTTGAATGGTTGTAGAATTGGCTACTGAAAATCTAAAATATGGAAAATGTTCAGCTTACTCATAAATTTCTAATCGTCTTTAGAATTGTAGTAGAGAGTTCCTAATATTGTCAAAGATAGCACTTCTGGAACTAGTGATTTGTTTAGGAGGCCTTTATTCTGAATGTCACATTGTGGTTATAAGAATTGCTTGTTATGAATCAGGACATTCATCTGATACGCTTCATCAATCAAACAGGAAAAAATCTTCATAAAATTTTTGTTCAAAGTTCTGTCTTTTAGAGCTAGGAAGTATATCAGAAGTGTTGCCTGGTGGCTAGTAGTTTTGAATTTTCTATTTATTTATCTAGGATGCCTGGGTCTTTAGACAGTGAAGTAGACATATTTTGTAAAACACAAATATTCGACCAGTGATTGTCTTCAATACTAGAAATGCTTTTCAGTAATGAATAAATGATCTTTGATGTTGGTGGTTTGAAGTGCGCACATGATTGTTTTATTTGATTATTTGGTAACTCTTATTTGTTCACCATTTCCTAGTTTGGGGTTTGTGGATTGAGAAAGTTAATGCAAATTATGTGGAGATAAAACTTGTATGGGAAAAATTCTAATAGATAAGATAGTAGTGTGTCTTATGCTTTGGCTCTTTCATTGACACAAGATAGGAAATAAAACTTCAACCTTGCTGTTTAAATTTTAGAGGGTGTACAATGTTCCTTGTTTACTCTGTGATTTCAGATGTGAATTGCTTAAAATATGGTTTATTATTGCAGTTGCGTGCCTTTGTACAATTTCAGCTATATTTACAATTATCTGCTGGCATCTCCAAAAAGTTTTGTGGACAGGTAAAAACAAATGTTATTGTCAAAGATAAGTACATGTTTGCTCAATTTCTTGTGTATTTCATAGTTATTCTTGAGTTATTTCTAAATATCTTGAAGTATTTTCTTAAAATTTGATAGTACTAACAAATGGCCCATTGTCATTGAAGCTTTCTTGACACAAAGGAGGGGCGCTACAACCCAAAAATGTCATCTGTCATACCCAAGGATCGATGGAAGAAAGGTTCCCAGGTTGCCATATACATTTTTTCAGGTTTTCAGTTGGGAGAAAAAAACATAGTCCATTAGCTCAACGCTGTCTACTGAATTGGTGGAGAGAGAAGGACCTAGCAGGAAAAGAGATAACCCTTATGGTGTCTTCTTCTCTATGTCCTTCACTATCCCCATGTTTCAATTTAAGGTGATAAGCCATTGGCCTATTGTTTTTTCTCAATGATCCACTGGACTACAGTATACTTTATCTTTGAGTTTTGTCGGATTTGAGATATATGGACGTTTAAGAGTATGGGATCGTCTCTGGAAATGGAAGCTGTATCTATTTATTAGAAAAGAAAGCTCATGCTTCTGACTTGTGTTTGAAATGGTAAATTTTCAGTGGATTACTTTAATTCGAAAGCATGCAGAGCTTGTTGTAACTGATGACAGAATCTTCCCAGTTTTCGAAAGATACTGCAAGGTAATGCTAATGCATGGGTTCGTGCCAAGGAGCTTTTGTGGGTCATCTCGATTAACATACAGTTGTTCTTTTCATTGTGCACATTTCATATTGGTTGATCTTGTTGGGAAGGGCTTTTATTTGAATTTGATTTGTAAAGGACTTTGAGATTTGATTCAAATTATGGAAATATTTTACCTATCTGCTACGTATATGTTTTCTATTTAAGATGTTTTCTGCCCATATGATTTCTTAATAAGTTGATAAATATTTAACATCATGGATTTGTATGAAGTTTCTTGTTCTGCATTTTGGATCTCTCTTTTCATCCATCTTACCCTCTGCAGAGGCGGCCACCATCAGATGAACTCGAGGAGAAGGTTTCTAGGAGCTTCCTCTTCTCTTTTCATGTGAGTATCATCAAACATTAGTTTCATTTTTCCTGTTTCTTCATCTATTTGAACCTTGGGGTCTGAAAACTAATTGATAGCATTCTAATGTAGTTAGCTAACTAGTTGAACCTTGAATCCAGAAACCAAATGTTCAGAAAGAGCACAATTGTATCCCAGATGAACATTATGTGCAGACCTTACTTGCTGTAAGTGGTTAATGTCCCTGTCCTTTTTCCACAGAAGATCTCAATCACAGATCATCTCATGAGACTTTCATTGTGTTTCAAAGAATTGTTTTTCTTCATTTCAGCTTTCTGATACTTTGTTATCCTTCATACTGTTAGTTGTAGGGAAAGTACATATTAACTCAACGTTTTGTGGGAAACTGGTCCATTGGGTTGTCTATTTGCATTGAAAGTGACAGACCATGATGGAGAGGGTGTGGGAACCAACCCGAACATGGTTTGACCCCAGTAGTGCATGACATCTCTCTCATCATTGCATATGGCTTCAATGGGTGGTGATGACCCAATGGGCTCTTAGTTTTAGTGCCTTGGCTTATTTTGTACTTTTCCCAAGTTGTAGTTTTCATTTATTAAATTAAGATGCTAAAAATATATTTAGCTCCTGTGCGATCTTTAGGCTATCTCTATGTATAATTTTCTGCTCAAAATAATTATTATTCCCTTGACTATGTCTTTCTTGATATGTTAGATTTCTATGCAGCATTGATGCATACCTGCTGCCCATTCTTTTGTCCAGTTCCTATTTTAGTATTGCATTGATTAGGATTTTCCTTTTCAGATGAGAGATCTTGAAGATGAAGTTGAACGAAGAACTTTGACCTATACTTCATGGAACCAATCCACTACTGAAACAGAGAAGCAGGCTTGGCATCCTTTAACTTTTGGGTATAGAAATGCAGATTCCCATCGTATCAAAGAAATAAAGGTGAACCACATGAACTTTAATGTCTTTCATTCAGTTTCCATTTGAAAATAGCTTCTAGGATGACATGACACCTATTTTTTCCAGTTATAAATTAATAAAGAAAATAGTAAGAATAATAGTGATAATGATAATAATAAAATAATAGTAATACTAAATAATTTATAGGGAAATTATCAGATGTATCTCATAAAGTACTCCATATTTCAGATATACCAAAATTTCTCGTTTAATACACCTATGCCCATATTTTTATAATTTTTTTATAAATGACATTTATCCCCGCCACGGACATAATAGGTCTGTGGCGGTGTATTAAACCCCAAACCTACCCGTTGTACATGAGGGTAATGCATATGCATTTTGGTGCTTTGAGATGCTTCTTTGCAGAATCGTGCGCATCCCCACTTGCATTATGAACATGTTCCCCACTTTATGGATATGCCAATGATGTAAGAGCTTTCCCTTGTGAGGCATTGTGTTTAACTTTTTATTTTTCTGAACATGAAAACAACGGAGGAAACGATGAAAATGGTTGGAGAGCGCCACGGCTCTATTAGAGCCGTTGCGACACCGTCACGGACGACGGTTTGGATGACTATCGAACACTAAGGAGGCATCCTAAAAAGTACCAGGAACCCCTGAACCGCCACGGCTCTTACATAGCTGTGGCGACACTGTTATAGTCGCTACATCTGTGACGGTTTAGATGCCTCCTGGACATTGAAAATGCATCCTTAAGGGGTTCTAGAAACCTCCGAACCGCCACAGCTCTATTAGTGAAAACCAGGAGCAGCAAGCAGGTTTGGGGTTTAATGCACCGCCACAGAATTATTATGTCCGTTGCGGGGTTAAAAATGTCATTTATGAAAAATTAGGAAAATATGGATATGGGTGTATTAAATGGAAAATTTTGGTATATCTGAAATATAGAGAACTTTATGGGATATATCGGATAATTTCCCTTTTTAATACTAATAATTACTTGTATTATTATTTGTTTTGCATGTTGCCCACTTAATACCTATTATTGTTGACATCTTGGTCTGTTTCATGCAGAAGATGAAATTGTTGTTTTTATGGAGTTTATTGATGCTTATGACCATATAATTTCTAAGAAAGCTAGGAATTGAATTATAAAGATTACCGAGTAGGTTTTCTGAGGTGACCTCTTGGAAGATGTCCCTCACAAGCAGTTACCCATCCTAAAAGAGAAGTACACATTGCCCACTTAATACCTCTTATTGTTGACATCTTGATCTGTTTCATGCAGAAGATGAAAATGTCGTTTTTATGGAGTTTATTGGTGCTTAGGACCATATAATTTGTAAGAAAGCTAGGAATTGAATTATAAAGACCACCAAGTAGGTTTTTGGAGGTGACCTCTTGGAAGATGATGTCCCTCACTAGCAGTTACCCATCCTAAAAGAAAAGTACACATGCAAACATAATGATACTCTGTTCAATCCCAGTATAGCGAGATGTAACTAGGCAAGACTATTTTCAAGATGGTGGCCTCGTTGGAAGTTCTTGTCAGTGTGATGCAGGATTGACTTGGTCTGATTTCATTAGGTTGATTCACCAAGTCACAATTCAACTTTGCAAGCCCTTTGAGTATTATTTGCTCAGTTAGTTACTTAAATCTATTATAATTAGAAGCTTTTGGCACACAAAGCCTGATGTTATGACTTCTTTCTGTAATTTTCTTTCATTGTTTTGTCTTACATGTAAACACAGAAAGGCGCTATTACATTTAAATGTTTAACTCTTCTAATATTTGCATATTTCCATCCATACATAACAGAGTGAAAGAACAGAAAAGGAAGGGTAACATAAAAGAAGATGATATGTAGCACTGAATTAAATTAGTGTTATTGGTTTCTTTTTGCTTTGTCGAAGGGCTGATATTATCAGGCTTTGGCTCTTTGCGGTACGAGATGCATAAAAATTGGCCAACTTTTCAGCCTTTTTTGTCTCTTCAGTGAGAGCAGCTGATAGTTAAGTCCAAGCGGAAAAATTTCTTTTCTTTTTTATCATTTTTGGTGGTGATGTTAGGTTGTGATTCCCTATAATAAAGCTTTGGAAAAGCTGCAGATGGTTTTGGCTTAGTCAATATTCCCATTATCTGTGATTTAGGGATAATTCTTGTGCTTATTTACTAGTATTATGATGTCCAAAAATTTGAATATAATATTAAAATTAAATGTGTTTCTGTTTTTCTTTGGCTAGATAAGTTGAATTTGTTTCAAGTTGAATTATGAGTGGTGATTAATTATGATTTCTTTTATAACTTATACAAATGCCGAACTGAATTCCTTGAGTGATGGATGGGTTTACTTGACAAATGTAGACAAATGTTAAGGAAGAAGGAATGAACTTAAATATGTGGATTTATTTTATCTTATTTTGTTGTATTTATTTTTTAATATGTTTTTATTTTATTGTATAGTCACTTGTAAACTTTTTCACTTTTAAAAATCCAAAATCCCTTCCTCAAAGCTGCTAAATTGCTGAAGTGATTCTCTAACCATGCGAAACCCAAGTAAACTCTGTTACGAACCTGACAACACTACCAAAACCATCGGATCTTCTAATAAATTATTATTCATCTAATACAAATAAAAAAAATTCAGATGACGGAAAGGGAATTGTATATTCTAAATGCATTTTTCTATAAGACGGATTCTGGACCCAAATCTGTCCCTTGGACTGATTCAAATCACTGATTCCAATTCGAATCACTTGCTTCTGCGAGGCCGGAAAGCAAAAAAATTGAAAATAAAAAAATAGAAAAGGTGGGACCAGGTGATTTTGGGGTTCCAAAGAACAGGATTGCCCACCACCGATCCCAATCCGGATTGGGCAATACTGATAGGATCAACCATTTATAAAAGCTGGGGTAAAACAATAAAACTAATGGAAAGGTTAGCACGTTCAAAAGGAAGCGAAAAGAGAAAATACAACCACTGGAATTAAGACACAACGTGTCCTATGCTGCCAAATAGCATGCTATTTCTTGACACACTCAAATTTTCTAATCGAAGCACTACAAACTTCCCTCCCTTATTGCATCAATTACATTCAAATTACAAAGAACTTGACAGTAAGATTTTCTCTTAAGTGATTCACCCACCCCACCTTTAAGGAGTTAGAGAATCCTTAAAAACCCATTATATAAATTTTAAGGGGTTTAGTTCAATGATTTATTGCTCAAGTCCATGATAAATCTCCCAACAAGGCCTTACTTGCTTTGGGGACTTAGAATCATCACTGCCAAGTTTTGTGGTGTGGCCCTTTTAGGGATACTCAATCGTTATTTCCTTATGATCCCCCCAAACACTACTTGTCTACTATTCCCTGTGTGGCTGTATCAAATTTGAGGTCATGGGACCCACTTTATATATGGTCGAAGTCTTGGCTGTTGGTTGAGGATGACAGATGAGCAGAGTTCAATAACCTTAAAGCGGTTACTTCAACTCCAAACATCTTTGGTCTCTACAACGCCTTTGAGATGATATCTCTCTGGATGGTCTTAATCAATGTGACTCGGGCCAACTGCCGTCCTCCAAAATTTCAGTTGTTTCTATCTTCTAGATACAGCAAACAATTGCTAAAATATTAAACCAAAAACACTTGCCCATCAAGTTCCAGCCAACCGTGTTCAGACATCCGACAAAAAAGGCAAACATTGTCTTCTACCAGTTTTGGTTTGGCTTTAGAAGAGGAGCACATCGACAATTCAAGAAAAGCCTCCAGGGTTTCTTTTAAAGCAACATTTTTAAAACTAAAAAATAGAAAAGCTTTAAACATTTTTTTTATAGAATGATATTTCACAAAATTTTTCACATTAAAAAAAAAATACAATAATGTTTCACACGAAAATTAAAACATTAAATAATTTACATTCATGACTTTTCCAAACTAAAAATTAAAAAATATATCACACACCATTCTTGGTTTTATGGTAAAGCTAGTTTAGAACTAGTATCTCACATGTGCTCCGCAAGCATGAAGTTTTTTTTCTTTTGGGAAGCTGTTAACTTTGTATTAAGAAAGTGTGAGAGTACAAAAATTGGCAGCCGAACATGGGCGCTCTATGCAAAAACTTACAAGCAGGCCCACATTCACAAAAAGGGGGGGTGGGCTGCACAAAAGATGCTGTATGAAATTAGGTACAGAAGTGTTCAATACTACAAGGGAGTTTTTTTTTTGGGTAATTGAGTGAGGATGACGAGCACTTACCTGTTTTCTAAATCATTAGTGGGTTTTTGAAGGTGTTAGGTGAGAATGGAAGCCTAGACCTTAGCTGGGGCACAAGTAGTGCTACCACCACGAGCCCAACCCCATTCTCCAATAACCACAAGCGAGTTAGGATCAGTATTATGCAGAGGCAGTTCTCGTTGTGCCATGCGAAGAGGCTCCTTCTCTAAAGAGGTGGTCTGCCTCCGTGTTTGCCTCCCGCCAGATATGTCTCCATGAAACATGGATGCCCCTGCAAATGTGAAAAATTTCATTAAAAATGTGGAGCAGCCTCCACGAATAGGGGGAGGGACTGGACGCCTAGGAAATGAAGTTATTGGAGTCCCTTCTACAACCAAGAATGGGCTCCAATATGGGTTTGAAGTTCTTGAGTCCTTGGAGGAGTGTGAGAGCTTCAACCATAGAAGAGTCGGTTTCACCAATGGGTAGGGAGAACGAGAAGGGGTGTGACCATTGTGGTCTCTGAAAATGCCCCCAATTCTGGCCGGGTCTAGGTTGCCTAGGGAACTACCATCGAAATTGAGTTTGGATTGGCCTAGCGCAGGCAGTCTTCGTGGTGAAGCCCGTGCGATCATTGCTGGCCGTAAGTGAAGATAACTCGCTGGTTTTGGAGAAAATCATCGAAGAAAAAGTGTTTGAAGTAACTGTGATTGTAGGCACAAGATATACCTAGGGATAGGGCCCTATCATTCATCGAAGGTGGCTTTGGTTCCTCGAAATGTCCTGTTGTGTCTCTCCATTCATATTACCCACAGAGTTGCTGCCACAAAAGCTTTTCAAAGGAGGATCTCCAATTTTGACCAAGGGCGTGGGTAGGGGGATGTGAAGAGTTGAGGAACCGATTGAGGAGTTACCCACGTCCACTTGGATCGTCAAAGCATGGCTCCCCACAGGACGTGCGCTAAGGTGCAGTGGAGGAAATAGTGGTTATTGGTTTCTTCCTCTAAACATATGACACATTTGTTGGGACTCAGGAGGCCCCTTCTCTAAATCTGGTTCATTGTAAGCGCCCTTCAAGCTCGTCATCCAAGTAAAGACTTGAATTTTTGGTGGGATAAAGTTAAGCCATACTTTGTAGCAGATACCGTGGGAACTCTTTGGAGGGGTGGATGGCTGTAGGAGTAGATGGTAGAAAGAGGAGACCTAGAATAGGTCCGATGGGTTGGGGGACCAGATAATGATGTTGCTGCCAGTAGTTGGGAAGGAAGTCGAATGGAGGAGGGTGGGTATGGTGAGAAAGTCATCCACCTCATTATTTGCGCGAAGCCTTTTGAAGTTGGGGTTCCACACTCTGGAAGGATCTCCATCTAGTTTGCCGCTGAGGCCTGGGGTTCCCGAGCCAGTAGATGCGGCCTGGGGTAGAGGTCCTTTAAGGGGGTGTCACCTATCCAACAATCTGACCAGAAGTGGATCCAATTGCCTTCCCTGTGGTGAAAGTGAATATTGGCAGTGAATACCTCGTAGCTGCATGGAATAGGCCTCTAGGCACTGGAAGGTTGGCTGGAAGTCTGAATCTTGGGATCCAACTAGAATTATCACACCGATACTTGTGACGAAGAACTGTTTGCCATAGATGGTTGTCCAAAGAAGCTAGCTGCCACCACCATTTGCCAAGAAGGGCGAGGTTCTTCAATTCGAGGCTGCTTATTCCAAGACCACCCACGTGTTTTGGACGGAAAACTTTGTTCTAGGAAACTAGGTGGAACATTTTGTACCCCCTCGAGTCGAGACACTACCGTGGATGGCATGTGAAAGAGGGAAATCTGAAAAATGGGGACATTTGAGACGGTGGCTTTGATCAACGTGATTTTCCCAGCGGAAGAGGGAAATCTCCCTCTCAAGCATTCGGTCAAACTTGTTCACAATGTAACTCTAGAAGTGCTTTTTAGGCTTGCCGATGCATAAAGGTAGACCCAAGTAGGTGGACGGGAGGTCATCGACTTGGCATTTCGACCGATCAACCAAGTGATAAATAATATGGGCCTCGGTGCAACCCCAATCATCTTAGTTTTGGCCCCTATTAATCTGGAGCCCAATAGCCATCTAAAAAAGTTTGAGGAAGAGAAGAAAAGTATCAGTTTGTTGAACATTGGTGTCATAGAACAAGAGAGTATCGTCAATGTATTGGAGGTAGGACACCACAGGTCCTTGGCTACCGGTTTTGAAACCTGAGAGCATTCCCGCCTCGTGCAAGCTAGCGACGAACTTGTTGAACACTTCTACCACTATAACGAACAAAAGGGGGAAAGGGGGTCTCCTGTCTGAGACCTTTAGAGGAATTGAGGAAACTCGCGGTGGAGTCGCTGGGAAAATACAAGTTTGGATATGCAGCCCTGAACCCATTTCCTGCGCTTACAGTCGAAACCCATTCTAAGGAGGGTTTTGTCGAGAATGGCCTTCCCCCAATCAAGTCTGATAATAACATCAAGGTCTTTGGATAGGTATCTAGAGTGTATACATTCATGAGCGATTAGACCACCATCAAGGATTTGGCGGTCTTTGACAAAGGCCCCTTGGTTTTGAAAAATGACCCAGCCAAGGACCTCCTGTAAATAGAGAGTGAGGACCTTGGAGAGGATCTCGTAGGAGCTGTTGAGGCTGATGGGGCCGAAATCTTGGGGTTCTTCTGCCCTTTTCACTTTGGGAATCAGGGCGATAAATGTCGCATTCATGCCCTCGTGGATGATACTCTTGTGGAATTCTTCACAGAAAGCTAGGATGTTAGGCTAGATGGTATCCCAAAAGGTTTTTGACAAGAGCCACCAAGCCTGGTCCCTGGGCCCTGTCTTGTGCTAGTGCCATGATGGCCTTTAAGATTTTGTCCTCTGAGAAAGGATGTTCAAGGCTAGCTGCTGTATCTGAGGGGATGGTTTGTAAAGATAAATCGCCCATCCTTGGCCTGGGCCCAAAAGTGGCCGAAAACAATAATATGAGGAATTCTAAGATCACGTTGTGA